AGTTACATATAGAATTTTGACCGGAAATATAGTATATTTGTGTTAAGCTGTGACCGTCTTTGTTACCATGGTTACGAAAGTTTTATATGTTAATATGATATAATAATGTAGATACTATTATTAGTCCATGAATTATGGGTTGTAAAGTTTTTTTTTTTTTTTTGATAGAATTGGATTTGAATATTCATTTTTTTTATAGAACAGGGGGCAAACGGGCAGGAGGCTCACCTGATGTTAAGTGATACCGCCCGCATGGACACTCAATGCCAGGGGGCTCGCGAGTGCGTTGCCAGCCTTTTAAGAACTAATACACTCTTTTTTTGAAGGATCCTTAGTCGAATTAGTTCGGAAATACTAAAGTGGGCAGCTGGTTCCACAAACGCGATGCGCGGCAAAAACTGCCTTAAAAAACCAATTCTTAAAAAGCCGGCACTCGCGAGCTCTCTGACATTGAGTGACCATGGGCGGCGGTATCACTTAATATCAGGTGAGCCTCCTGCCCCTTTGCGTTTTGTAAAAAAAAGTTCAAAAGGTTATGAATAAAAAGAGGACAGTATTAATAATCAATTTGTCAGAACGCCCCTCTGCCACGCAGGCGAGAAAAACCTGTTCTTGTCATGTTTTTGTAAAAAAAAACAATGACGAATTAGCGTCCCCGATAAAAGATGCTACGCTTTTTTAATTTGCTCTTCTCGATCACAGTTTACAAGATACAGTAGTTCGATCGCTTCACACTGACTCAATTCTGATTATCTGAAACGAGCGATAAATTATAATTATTGTTAAAAGGTAAAGAAAACGTTGTTTAATACGTGTATAAAATAAACTAAAATGTCAAATATTTTACGTATCTCAAACGATAAGACGATATATTTAATGATAATTAATGTAATTTATAAAACATTAATCAACAGTTAAAAAACCATTAGGTACATATCTCAGATTTCTATATTATATATTTCGTGTTTTTTTTTTTTTTTATAGTTAAGAAGGTGATCAGCCTTCTGTGTCTGACACACTGTGTCTTGTGTTTAGTTCACGTAGGAGCGAGTTATAAACGAGCACATAGACTGAAAGTCCATTAGTGCACAGCCTAGATTCGAACCTATGACCTCGGCGATGAGAGTCGTATGTTGATGCCACTAGGCCAAAACTGCAAATATATACTATGACGTGTAATTTATAAATTACTAGCTGCCCCCGCGAACTTCGTTTCTCCTTAATGTGATCTTACTTAGCCTATCTTTTTAGTACATACCAACATGGAACAATTTGCTATGCAACCCCAGAGACTGTTCGGTTTTCTGGAATGAAAACTTTTTAGGTTTTTCTGTGATTTTTCTCTATATAAACCTCAGAGTTAACTAACAAATAAAAATAGGGATTAATCGTAGAGGGTAGATGAAAATTAAGGGTTGTATGTATTTTTGTATGCTGTATCATAAAAAAATTTAAAAAAAATGGGGTGGACACCCCTTATCACTTAGGGGTATTAAAGATAAATAGTAGCCGATTCTCAGATATACTGAATATGCATAAAAAAATCATAAGAATCGGTCGAGCCGTTTCCGAGGAGTATGGGAACGAACATTGTGACACGAGTATTTTATATATTGACTTATGTCAACCTAGGCCCTATTAAAGGCGTGGCTGATAATTTCACAACTACATTTCTATGTACTACACTATAGGTAGGAGATGGCCCGTGAAACGTAACGAAGGGTGGAATGTATAATATTGGAGGTGTTTTGTACTAAATTAAATTGTTTGCGCACCCTATATTATCGTGTTTAACTTGCTTCCATACGACGGGACGTCAATGTACTAATTACTCTAAATAGTGTATTACGCTGGATGTCAGTCAATACGATCTGGGAACTGGGGACTAAACTATGGCTGTATCGCTTGCTGCGCCAATTCGGCTCTCAATAGGAGACGAGAAATTTTTAACACACAAAATATAAAATTAAATTTTACTATAGTAAGAGAAAGTTTATTGTCGTATTTTTAATTATGTTACCTTTGATACCGATCCGAAACATTTATAGTTTTGATTCCACTAAGCCATGTAGCGGTATAATCGGCGTTTTTATAGTACATAATATTTAGAGCAGTGTTGGGCATCAGCGTGATACTCTCATCTCTGAGGTCGTAGGTTCGATCCACGGCTGTGCACCAATCGACTTGCTATGTGCGCCTTAGACTCAAAAAGACGTGTGTCAGGCACAGGAGGCGGATCACCTACTTGCCTATTAGATTGACAAATCATGAAACAGATTTTACACATTTTAGTTATTTTATTAAATAATTATCATGAAGTGCTTATTCCTGGTTTATATTTGAAAAAGCCTCAATGTATAACTAAATAGACAAATAATATCTTTAAATAAATTAAAACCTATGTTGTCAAGTAAGAAATTACGCTGTACCCTTTCGCTAAGAATAGCTGAGATGGGATTTTTAATGCAATAATTTCGATAATTTCCCCCCAGATGCCGCCTCTTTGTGGCGACGATTACTTCCTGTTATACAAAGCCTTTGATATCGGTATGAAAGGAATTAACGTCGCTACCTTTCGAGAAAAGAGCGTACCAATTCAAAAGGCCGGCAATGCACTCGCGAGCGACACTCATGAGCTGATCACCAACTTACCTTAAAAAAAACAAATTATCACGTAACCCATATAGAAATCGGACCTCAAAGGTGTTTTTTTTAATTATATGGTATTTTGTTGATGTAATGTAATTATTTGGCTATTATGTGTTTCAAAAACCAAATTAGATCTCGGGAGAACTCGAGAGTTTGCAATTTCGGCCCCACATGGAGTACTCTTCGCACCTGGGCAGTGTCTCCCCAGAACCAGCTCCTTCCACTTGACCGTATTCAACGAAGAACGGTTCGAATCGTCGACGACAAATCCCTCTCCGAGCGGCTTGATCCTTTGGCGTTGCATAGAGAGTGTTCAGAGGAGTTGTTCAGATTAATACCTACCTGCAGCTGAGTTTCGTCATCGGACGTCGAGGCAGAATAGGAAATTCCCCAGCGTTTCTTAAGGCAGTTTTTGCCGCGCACCACCATTATGTAGAACCAGCTGCCCACTGAAGTATTCCAAAACCAATTTGACTTAGGATCTTTCATGAAAAGAGGGTACCAATTTTTAAAAAGCCGGCGACATCTAGACATATCACTAATAACCTCGCAAATATACTTAACAATTTATTACCTAAATCTATTACTTTTTAATTTCCATTCACATTGTAGGCTATAATTAAATACGTGACGTCATTAAGCGGCCTCCGTCATTTGTGAAAAAAGCTTAAGGCTGAACGCTAATGGAGAATTGTTTTTGTTTACAATACTAATAAAAACCACAATTTGATACATGAACATGTAAAGGTTGTTACATACACCAAATTATATAAATAATTTAATTATAATTTTGATTAATGTATGATAAAAATCATTTCCAGGAATGTGCTATTCAAAGGCCTATTTATTATATTAAATTAGACAGGGTATTATTATTGAAACATTATATGTACATATTTCATGTCACAAACGGTGTAATGGCATGTAAAACATAATATCTGGCTATTAAACAGAGTGGCTGTGAGTTTGTTGCCAGTTCTGTGAGTTCTTCTCGTCCGTTCTACGCCCTAAATTTAAGAACTGACAGTACATTTTTTTTTAATTATCAGCATGGATAAATGATATTAGATTTTGACATACTAATACATATTGTTAGTTCATTTTTGTATTTAATAAACAAACAAGCAGGCTCACCTCGTGTTAAGTAACGATAAGTAAGTGATACCCCGCCCATACATATAGAGTGTATACTGTATATGCTAGAGGGCTCGAGAGTGCGTTGCCGGCCTTTTATTTTTTAAACCTCGTGAATATAAGTAAAACTATCCCATAATGCTATCAGAAAGGCAATGAAGTAGGGTGTTGGCTGCAGATATAGCTAATATTACTGGAACCGAAGTGCGATAGCTTGCTTGGCGGCACGCCAGATAACTAATGATTACCTTCTAACTTTTACATTCATAAAAACGGTATCAGATTAATTAAAAAGATTTTTTACTATATTTAGAGCTTCGCCTTATAAGAGAATTGTCGTTGTTAGACCTTTTATTTTTTATAGGCTTTTTTTTAAATGTAATAGGTGGCAAACGGGCAGGAGGCTCACCTGATGATTTATTTATTTATTTAAATGATAAGTGATACCGCCGCCCATGGAACTCACATTGCCAGAAGGCTCGCAAGTACGTTGCTACGGCTGGTGAGTGTCACCTATTAAGATTGCCCTGTCTAAAAGTCTCTCGACCATAAATAATTGTATTTGTTCAAAAATATTTCAGGCAACTGGTTCCAAATAGTAAAGCTTTCCGGCCAAAAAGGTTTCGTATCTTCTCAGATTTTTTGCATAATTAATTGCATAAATATGAATTTAAAAAGCAGATGTAATCTAAGATCACGATCCATGTGGTTATTTTAATAACTACATTAGTTCCACAGAAATACGGAATAACATCGTTAGAAACTTCGATCGAAAAAACCGTGTAGGAAATATGGAAATTTTGAAATTCCAACAGAAGTTGAATCGCCTCGTCGCTAACTTCGACATAATAAAGTGAAAAATCTGCATACTCCATCGGTCCACCCCCAATAAACCGATACGAGAGCGTCTAACTCCTCATTTCATTTTCCAAACTTTTAATCTCAAAGTGCCCGTGAAAGAAAAACGGTAGCTTTAAGGAAATCGCCAGCGCCACCTATTATCAACTCCTGCAAGTTTGGTAATTTTTCAAAGCACTTCAGGCGTTTGAAAATCGACTTTATCTACTAATAATAAGGTTGTGTGTGCCTTGGTAGTGATGTGGCGGTTATGACGAGGCATGCGAGACGGATTGTTACAGAAGAGTCATAAAAAGTAAGATATTAATGTATCGCGGGAGGCATTAGACGGTCGCTGGATCGATTCCTATGCATAAAAAATGCTAATGGCCCTGGAGAGAGAACATTGTGCTGGCGTCGTTGATTTATGCGTGGAGTTTGGCGAACTATTCGCAAAGGTGGTTCATGAGGTGTGTAGGATAATGCTGTGGATTTTGAAGTTAATGTTTAACGTTTAATGAACCAAAAAATTTAATTTTATTTACATGAGAAACTTAATTAGAGCAGTGTTGGCCTAGTGGCTTCAGCGTGCGACTCTCAAACCTGAGGTCGTAGGTTCAATCCCAGGCTGTGCACCAATGGACTTTCTTTCTATGTGCGCAATTTAACATTCGCTCGAACTGTGAAGGAAAACATCGTGAGGAAACCGACATGTCTAAGACTCAAAAAGTCAACGGCGTGTGTCAGGCACTGGAGGCTGATCACCTACTTGACTATTAGATTTAAAAAATGATCATGAAACAGATTCAGAAATCTGAGGCCAAGACCTAAAGAGGTTGTAGCTCGATTGATTGATTTATTTATTTGAGAAACTTAATATATATACGTCGCCATCAGCCGTCCTAATTTTAGTCTACTAGGCTCATTCTGATATGTTTCATTAATGCCCTTTTGAATTGGTTAAACGCGCTTTTATTACGATTTTTAGACGGTAATTGATTATATTCTTGCACACCCTCATACTTAAAATAGACTTCTTTAAATAATTTGTACGCGGTTTTGGCAAGATAAGCAACCTCGCTGGACGAGTATAGCGTGGTGTGTTTGATTTTTTTTTTTGTCTTTAGTGTTGTGGTATCTACGTAATTATACTTACATTATTACTGTTAGTAGCGTTCAATAAAAAAATATAGAAACAATAACGACTCGTTGCAATTACTATCGGTATTTTAATATAAAACTTGGCTTTGTATATCAACATTTTACAGTATAAATATTAGCAAACACACAGTCTCATGATCGCCACTACCTATAACTTATAATTAGTTATTAGTTTTGTCTCGTTTACTTTCACGTGGCATCGGTAAAACATTTAACAGCTGTGGGAGGCTTCTAATGTTTTTATTTAAGTTTAGTATTTAGGCAATAGGGAACCTATAATATTATAAAATGGACTGTTTGCGACTTTTAACTAAATGCAATAAAAATTTGCTTTTACCTGTATGTGTAATACATAAACATTGATAGTTCTAGTTACTTAATAATAATAATTAATTAATTACTTAGTAATTGAAAATACATATTGCGTAGATGATATATTATGTGTTATTAACAAACATTTGGTTTATTATAACTCATAGATTACTGAAGAAATCTTATCTTTAATTTTTGGTTATTCTTATAAATAAATCAACAAACGCGTATATTATTTTCACATCATCTTACCACTGTAATGCACATTGATCACTTCTCTCAAATGGAAAGTTTCCAAAACCCAGGTAGGTGGTGGGATTATTTATGAAAATCCTCGGCTAATACACAGATAAGCCCTAACAAATAAGAGCTTGAAGCGCTGCCGGCCTCCGATACGAGCTGGCGCAGCGCCCGACCGACTATCGCTATTGTTTCTGAATATACGAATTTAATATCTCACTTGGATTTACTATTGGGATATTATCTATGGTCATCTAGTTCGTAGGAGCACAATACTGGCAACTATTACAAATAACTCAATTAGTTATTTATTTACATAGACATAACATATTTTATTACTAACAAAAACACACATTTAACATAATAACAATAATCAAAGAACAAAATATATAATGAGAGATATCAACTAAAAATCCCTTTTCCCCTTCGGTTCTTTTAAGAGTGTCAAAAGTGTCAAAACTTAAAGGTAAATAACTGATCACATGTCATACATACATCGTAGTCATAAAGTGTACCCGGCGGTCTTCATTTAGAGTTCAAGCCGTGTATGGTCAAACCCAGTGTTTCTTAACGTGGAGCCCACGCCCCACAGGGGGGATATCTATTGATAAGGGGGGGCTATTCAAAAATTTATTTGGAATTTTACTTTTCCATTATATGTTTTGATAGTTTGCTTATAGTTTTTCATTAATAATTTCCTAGTAATTTCTTCCAAAATACTACCATTTAAGTTTCTTAAATGAACAATTCAATTATTTATATATAAATATTATGTAAGGTAACTAACCCTTATATACTAACTTAAACAGAAAAATATTTCAACAGGTGAATAAATTTAATATACCTTTAATATAAAGGATATTGACTCCATCTTTGATATTTTCTTTGTGGCTACGTACATGACTACACATACTATCCGGGTTTAATGTAATTACATAATCACATAACTATTATGTAAAAATAATATTTATGCAATATCAGAATAAAATACTTCTTAGACGTAGTATGACTATAGCGTTAAAATAAAATAAATTATACAAACTTTAAAAAGTACACATTACTCTGTATTTAAGTGATTGTACTTATTGAAGCTTTAATGTTTATAAGTTCTTTTTGAAGCTCGTGGCGCCATCTCGTATTGAGTAGTAAAAGCTAATAAAGGTTGTATTTGCACGAGGTTGGGAACTTAAACGCGGTGTCAACGGCCTTACATTTAATGAAAATTTACGTCTATAACGACTTTATAGTCCAAATAATATTATTTAAGGTTATCGAGAAGAGGTTCTTATAATTAAGTTAAGAAACCTATTAATTATTGTTAGATGCTGCCGTTAAATATTTCAAACCAACCCACGATAATTAAACATGTTCCTTGCCAATAAATACTTCTTACGTATACATAAACATGATACAAAAAAGCCCATTTTCACAAGGACTTTTTTTTTTAAAGACAATTCACACCAATTGACCTAGTCCCATGCTAATGAAACTTGTGTTATGGGTACTAGGCAACGGATATACATACATATTATAGATAGATAGACATATAAATACATATTTAAACACCCAAGACCTAAGCACAACACCAAATGCTCATCACATCGATGTTCGTCTCAGCCGGGGATCGAACCCGGGACCCATGGATTCGCAGTCAGGGGTACTAACCACTAGACCAATGTGTCGACTTTTGAAAGAAATTCCTCCGTAAAATCTATATTTATATATTGTCTACAGTCTTAAATATATATATAATACACAAACACCGCATCGCCATAATCCAAAACCTGACATTTATATTCCGTGCAGAAATTAAAAAATATCAAAACAAATAATTATTTGAGGGCAACCCGAGCGGTATAATCTTCGCAGTAGCTCCCGGTCACGTAGAACGAAATGGCGGAAAAAATCTGTGTTGGACACCGATCGCGATACACGGACAGACGCGGTTTGAATATTTATATATTATTCGAAATAAAATATAGATAAGCTTTTAATCTAATTCTAGTACGTGCTGACGGGTTCGACTCTCGGGAAGTCAAAAACAATTTATTTATTTTTTAGTTAAAAACATGTGTTGGTCTGTGGATTATCTTAATATACATATATAAATTACGTGTCACGTTGTTTGTCCGCTATGGACTCCTAAACTACCGAACTGATATCAATATTTGTTTATTATTTGATAGTCACAATTCTAACAGATGACGCTGTGTTGAAAGTACCAACGTTTCACATAAGCTACAATTTAATGGCATTACCACCAAAAAAGCATGGTGGTCCCCATGACTGGTGTTCTCCTACCGTTTCCCTTGAATACGTAACTACTATGTAATATAACTAAAACCTTAGCCACAGCAAAGCTTGGCCGGTCTGCTAGTTAGATTATAAAAACCTAGCATTTAAGATCAATAAAATCGTAGACTTTAAAACGTGTTCATTAAATAGCCAGTTCAGTATTAAGTAACCTACATGAATAAATATTTTTTTTTTATAAAACAGAAGACAATCGGACAGGAAGACTGATGTAGAGCGATGCCGCCGCCCATGGACATTCTGCCAGAGGGCTTGCGAGTGCGTTGCCTTTTAATAATTGGTACGCTCTATTCTTGAAGGACCCTTAGTCGAATTGGTTCGGAAATACTTCAGTGGGCAGCTGGTTCCACATAGTGGTAGTGCTTAAAAAACCCTCAGTCGTTGATTTTTATTATACAAATAAAAGTACGAATATATAGCTAAAATGATTTAAGTATAATTTATAAAAAAAACTCGGCAGTGTTGGCCTAGTGGCTTCAGCGTGCGACTCTCATACCTGAGGTCGTAGGTTCGAACCCCGGCTGTGCACCAATGGACTTTCTATGTGCGCATTTAACATTTGCTCGAACGGTGAAGGAAAACATCGTGAGGAAACCGACATGTCTAAGACCCAAAAAGTCGACGGCGTGTGTCAGGCACCGGAGGCTGATCGCCTACATGCCTATTAGATTTAAAAATGATCATGAAATAGATTCAGAAATCTGAAGCCAAGTCCTAAAGAGATTGTAGCGCCACTGATATATATATAATTTAGAAAGTTCTATTTAAAATTCACGCTCTCCTTTATAGCGGGGGTGATCAAAGCTTAATTTAAATAATATAAATTAAAATATTGTTCCCTCTAAATCCTATCCTTTAATTGTATCAGCTTAACATCGTACGTGGATCGTAACCCAGCGCCGCGGCCTTTTTTATTGTCCTTGCGGTAAAAAATTTGCATATATAATTTTGTTTTACAGCTCAATACATTCGAGAGGTAATCGTGTGAGGTGCGGGGCTTAATTTTTTCTCGTAACGACCCCTTTGTATTTTATTGGCAATAAAATTTATTATTGATTGCGTGTATTTTAATATTGCACGGAATTGTGTCGTTACGCGCCAAGCAATTTATGGAGTGTGGCGATATTGAGGCTTTGTTTCGTAACAATGGCGAGACGAGATTTTGAGAATGCTTTCAGTTGCATCTTATTATAATGAATCTTAGGCGAGTGTCTACACGCCACTCGCATAATGTCTTGTTCCGAGACGTTTTCCATCTGATATATAAAATTCTCGTGTCACGGTGTTTGTAATTAGACTCCGAAATGGCTCGACCGATTTTCGTGAAATTTTGTGTGCTTATCGGTTAGGTCTGCGAATCGGACAACGTCTATTTTTATCCCCTTAAAAGTTTAGTGTGGTCCATTTCTATTTTTTTGGACAATTTTTTTGTTTTTATTTTTTTATAATACAGCATATAAAAATACATAACCCTTAATTTTCTACCTATACGATCAACTCCTATTTTTTATTATAATAGATAGTTATTTTTATTTAACTAAAAAAATATTTCCTAGAAATAATATACATGGCAAAACAACGTTTGCCGGGTCAGCTAGTATTATAAAAACTCAATAGGTCATTTTATTAATAGAAAACATTTTTTTTATAAATTGTCTCTACACAAAGACACAATTTAACATTACAATCAAGCCTAACTTCAGATTAATAAGTAATTAAAAATTAACCTAATTTACTAAAAATATTTAACATAAGTTATTGGACACTTTCCAATAACTACTAACAGTCTCGACTAAGAGAAAGACACTCTGTTTTTGTCTATTTTTCCACTGTTTAGCACTTAAGACGTGCACTCTAATTTAAATTCGTTTTGTTTTTCAATCTGAAAATATAGAAAATAAAATAAACGTACAATCACTATACGAATAAAATCCACAGTATTAAGATATTTGGTGAAATGTATAAATTAATCCTTTCCCCATATAATTCGAAGGCATTACAGTTCGCGGAGTCAACCGTTCGGAGCTGTCAGGAGGTTTTCATCGCCTGAATTTATAGGCGCGCAGCGGTGACCACACGGCACGGTGTTATTGTTTGGTACAAGTACCAGCGATTCGTTTGAAATTGATGTTGGATAACAATGATTCCTTAACAAAATCGACGTCCGCCACACAACTGAGTCAAGGCAGTTTTTGCCGCGCACCATCACTTTGTGGAACTGCCAACTGTAGTATTTCCGAACCAATTCGACTTAGGGTATTTCAAGAAAGGAGCGTTCCAATTCCTAAAAGACCGGCAACGCATTCGCGAGCCCTCTGGCATTGAGAGTGTCCATGGGGGGGCGGTATCACTTAACATCAGATGAGCCTCCTGCCCGTCTGCCCCCTGTTCTATAAAAAGATAATTTTAGATACCCCAGGCATCCCATCATAACATTTGTCCCTCCTTTCAGAAGAACGCGTTAAGGCCAAAATTTACCGATATCCAAATTGAGCATTCTGATAAACGAGTTAGGTCTGCACATCCAGTGGCTCTCTCACACTTTAAAATCAATTTTCCTTTAGTTTTGAAGTTATACTTCTTTTGGCGCGTTAGGGAAAAATGATTAGAGTAAATATTTATGATGCGCGCGCACACCGTCACAAAAAACCGACACCCTGAAGTTAGCTATAGTGAACATTTTAGTTCGGCACACTGTACCAATGTATCAGTGTGCCGAGCGTTGGCAAGCTTTTATAAATAAACTAGTGGACCCCACAGACGTTGTCCTGCATGATATTTAAAGCGATTAGGATATTAAGCAAAGTATGAAAGTACCGACTGCAGTGCCATCTGCCGGGCTGATTTGTGAATCTAAACCATTCCCAGATCCCCTTGAACACACACAAAAAAATTTCATCAAAATCGGTCCAGTCGTTTGAGAGAAGTTCAGTCACATACACACGCACACAAGAAATATATATATTAAGATAAACAAATAATTCTTCCTGCATTTACTACAAATTGTACCGTGATTGTAAATGCGAATCAGACATTGCTTCTAATTGAAAACCACCTTTTATTGCTTAAAATTATTCACATACATTGCATATTATTAACATACGGAGATTTGGTGTTGCAAAGATGATATTTTAGATCATTTATTTTATGCGTTTCTTATAAAAGTCATTATTTTACTTATGAATAAGATATCTCTTTTTGTTTCTCGAAAATATATATTGTCAGAAAATGACGAATAAGTACATTACAAACTTATTCCGAACGCCAAAGATATAATATACAAATTCCGACCACGTGGTTAGACTGTTCGGACCGTCCATAAGGTCAAAGGAATAAAAAGATAGTTTAAACTAAGAAATAGTATAGAGTTATTAGCTAACGAATTTATTATGGAAAATGAAGTGCGTAAGCAATCATTTCGCTAGCATTATAACCGCGCCCTCCCGGTCGGGGTAATAAAGACAGAGAGAATTCGCGAGGGTTAACGGACTTTTGTTTCTTTTCCATAATCACTGGTTAATGCAGTTCTCTTTGTAATCCTTCTAGATAATACGTTGTCGCCCTTGAATCTATAAATACAATACCTGCTATTGTGTAACTTGTTACGAAATTATTACGTTTTAAGGCTTTAAGCTACCTAGTAAGGTTTAGTTTATAAACACAAAAAATAATATTGATATATATATATAGTCTGATGTAATATTAGTATATATTTGAAACCTATTTTAGGTGAAAAATAAAACATATTATTGATCTTACAATTATTATTTTGTCATAAAAGATGCAGTCCAAACACTACTTTTAAATCTACTGCTATATATCCATACGAAGCTATCGTAAAAGCTTCTTAAAAAGCCGCGACGCACTCGCGAGCCCTCTGGCATTGAGTGTGTCCATGGGCAGCAGTATAACTTAACATCAGGTGAGCCCTGTTCTATACAGTTAGTTCTATATAGTTAATGAATTTAATTGTCATTAAAATATTAAGCGTCGAAAATTTATACAAATGAATTAATTTTTTTAAATTTATTTCGTCGATAATAAAAACACGTGGCATTTTAATTTACGATTCGTCATTTGATATTTCAATAAATTATTTTGCATAAAATATAAAATACTATTATTTCATGAATTCTCTTTACGAAATTTTAATTTTAAAAATAGAATTTCTATAAGGTTATTGGCCCTTCTCACTCTCTTAATCGGTCTCAATCGCTCTCTCCCTTCTCTTTGACAAAAACGCTGCACATCTTCGTGACGTTTCATCCGTAAAAAAATTCCCTCGTGCGCCTAAAGAAGTTTCACTTCAAAAAAAGTGTTATCCTAGAGTCATGAGAGAGCTTAATTCCACAGACTATGGAGCGAACTTTTTCAATTTCCTCCCATGGCCGGCATCAAACGTTAAATGATTAGAAGGAAACGAGATACCGGCACTTAATGAGAAATGAGGGAAAAATATAATAATAGAGCCACGTTGTTTTATTGATTAAAAAACTTTACTAATCACATTGTTAGATAGTACGGTATCGCTATACTTTGTAATTGCTTTGAAATTTTTCTGGAGCGTTTAATTTTGTTTGCGGTTTTTTCGTTTATTTTTTTAATGTGTCTTTACTAAGACATCATGGAACATTACGATCTAGCCTAACTTAAGACTAATAAGTAATTTAAGTCGAACCTAATTTACTAAAAATATTTAACATAAGAAAGTGTCCAATAACACTACTTACACAAGTAAGTATTTTTTCACTCACTGTTTAGCACTTAATACCAACACTAATTCACTAGTTCAATTGGTTTGTCCTTTACAGTCTTCTCACTAGGCCCGTGGAATCAAGGAGTTTAATAGCCTCGACATATCGATTAATTAAATTTATGAGATTAAATTACCGATGTGTCAGACGCATTTCTAGTTGTCAGTCACACTACAGTATTCATTATTTTTATTCCTTAAATATTTAGTAAGTAATTGAAGTAGTGTGGTGTGTTTCTTGGTTCAACGTTAGAGTCCTTGGTTTTTAGTGCTTTTGTACGTAACTTAATTTATTTTATTAAATAAATAAATGTTAATGTAAAATATAACGTAGAATATAAACGAATTTTGAAATATATCAACGAAGAAGTGGAAAACGAAAAATAAATAAATTTGTGAAATTTTAATAACTGGATTAAAACTATAATTTAAAATTTAAAATACCATCCGTATCACCTCGACGTTCGTCGTTCCACAACTGAGCGTTTTCTAAGGCAGTTTTTGCCGCGCACCACCACTATGTGGAACCAGCTGCTCACTGAAGTATTTCCGAACTAATACGATTTAGGGTCCTTCAAGAAAAGAGCGTACCAATTCTTGAAAGGCCGGCAACGCACTTGCGAGCCTTCTCGCATTGTGAGTGGCGCGGCGGTATCACTTAACACCAGGTGAGCCTCCTGCCCGTTTGCCTCCTATTACATTTAAAAAAAAACCTGCATCCACGATTGCCTAAAAAATCAAAAGTTAATTATGATGTAATGAAATGAAATAGTTTATTCTTGCAAGTAGGACTATATAAATCACTTTTACAATGTCTTCCTAAACTAGATGAAGTCGACATTTCCTAACTGACTGCCCTGAGAAGAAATGTCGAAACAAACTCGGGGGTCTTAGTCTCTTTTATAGTCCAGATAATACAATAATAAATTAATAAGTTGGTGTAAACAAATGCAGAGTATTTACTGGACTGGTCTTTGGAAGAAAGAACCAGATCGATCTGAGCAAGCCTGCGCCAGCAGACGGCTAGCATGCCCCGAATAGCTCATGCAGCTCAACCATTTTTGAGGGAGCTGCACAACCCGGTACACAACAATACCGCCAGTGGCACCATAAAGATATGATGTATGTGTATAAGTCTTCCTTTTATAGTTTGAACAAGAGATAAAAATATTGTTAATAATTAAAAATCATGTTACAATTTCGCTTATTCCTCATATTAATAAAATATATCTTTTTCCAGAAGCTGCATCTCCTATCACCACCAGCTTTTCCCGTGGAGCGTCTCTCCAGCAGTGAGTGTGGGACGCGGCTATGCGTGTGGGGCTCGCGTGGTGTTACCATCGCCGAGCTGCCAACTAGATGGGGCAGAGGCGGGTTGTTCGAATCAGGGAATCAGACTGTATTATGCAAGTAAGTAACTAAATAGGTTATTTCCTTCACTTGTCACTATTTTTTGGGATCATTCATGAAATAATCTGGCAATTTTGTTGCAATTGTGGCATTAGCCAAAAGACAATCTGCAGGTAGTGGTGTGGAGACATCAAGTCGACGTATCGGTTAAGGATTTTCAAAACAGGCTTTTCAGTAATGAAGACTACGTAAAAGAAGAAGTGATATCTTTATATATATATATACTAGTGGACCCCACAGACGTTGTCCTGCATGATATTTAAAGCGATTAGGATATTAAGCAAAGTATGAAAGTACCGATTGCAGTGCCATCTGCCGGGCTGATTTGTGAATCTAAACCATTCCCAGATCCCCTTGAACACACACAAAAAATTTCATCAAAATCGGTCCAGTCGTTTGAGAGGAGTTCAGTCACATACACACGCACAGAAGAAATATATATATTAAGATATTCTACTGTACGTGTGTATGTCTCATAAACGGCTGGACCGATTTGAAGTGTACCAATGTGTTTGGGTGGCGCCCTTGATGGTTTAGACTCACTTAAATAAAGAGCTGGTATATAAAAAATCTACTGCATATGTTCGTAATTAAACATCTAAACGGCTGGACAAATTTTGATGAGTTTTTTATGTGTTCAAGTGGAGTCGAGATGATTTACATGATTCGATTTTGTTTGTATGTAAGACGTGTGTACAGGACACCGTCTGATCCGCTAGTATACATATAATTTTACTTATATGTACACATTCAAAGCGAATTTTCTATCGTGTTTTTTAAACGAATTCATTTGAATATATCTAAACTATCTACATAAATAAAAAAAATTGCCTTTATTCGATAACTACATTAGATTACATAAGTTCATGTTTAACATTCCTCCATCTCCGACAGAGCGAAGGCCTACAATTTCTTCCACTTGTCATCGTCGCCACAATTTTTCAATCTTTCTATAAGTATCATATACTATAAGCCAATTACTATTGGGAAAACCCAAAACAGTGTATCGCCAAGTATCGAACACAAATTACGAAGTAACTCGCTTTGATTTCGCCCTCTACATTGTTGGGTCACACGCTCAATGACGCTTTAAATATCTTTGTATGAAAGTGTCTCAGTGTCCACTAAACCCCTTAAAGGGTGTCCTCATTATCAAACTAAACAGGTTGGATCTAATAACCTTAGATAAGTTAGCAAGAAAGCAAGCACGTAAGCATCGTGTATTTTCTACTATCACGGTAAATTTTGTTACCTATTAAGCTCCTCGAAGCGGCTATAATGTTAGCCTGAGGTAACGATTAAGCCAAAGATTATTGTGTAGATCATGTGTTTGTAGATGCGACATCCATGTACAGTAATCCCCTCTAACGATAGACCCGGACCGCGTTAGGAAATCGCGTTGTTGGATTTTTTTTTAATATTCCAAAACTAGGAACACGATTCAATACAGTTATTTAGTTTGTTTAACAATACCATTGAAAGAGGTGTAAAGGTACTTTACAAATCTGATTTTCTGAGATCACTGCATTGTACCAGTGATCTGGGGCTGATCTATACTCTAGACTCTCTTTATATCGATCTATAATAAAAGGTTAGGTTTTTTTATAACCCAGACCAATAGTTGGTCAAACATTTAAAACAAAGGAAAAGTTTTAGAAATATTGGTAAAGTAAATTATGACAAAATAACGTCTAAAGCTGCTTGCTAATGTGATATTACATGAAGCCATGCAGATTTCTGCGCCTTACCTGCTTTTTTATGTAAGAGAGAACAAACAGGCAGGAAGTCGCCTGTTGTTAAATGATACCGCCTTGCCGCCCCTGGACACTCACTTTGCCAGAAGGCTCGCTCTTTTCTTAAAAGACCCTAAGTCGAATTGGTTCGGAAATACTTAACGGTAACTGGTTAAACATAGTGGCAGTCTTAACCACACTACAGTTATAAAAACTCAATAAGTTTGGAGTAGCAGATATTACAATAATACTCTCAGAGACACGCAAGCTGCGGTATTATCTATAAAGAACCCCACCCCGCCCTACTTCATCTATATCTCAGCGTGCTCGAGTCACCACTCTTTTGTACATGTTATTAGGCGGGTATATCTTGATATTTGCATATTTCGGCAGTAAAATTAATTCGAAGATTTGCCCGCATCCACGGCAGACGCCCCCGTCTTGGGGATGTTTTTGGATTTGTGCATTCGCTCCGAGATAAACCGATACGGTCTTTTTGCTTTTCAATTATATTTAAAGAGATTCTGTAGATAAAGTTCAGATGATTCGTCAAGTCTTCTAGTTATGGTTCACCGTCAATATGCAGTTAATTAATAAATTTTAATTACATTGAGTCTGTGATGTGTGTTAATTAATTTAAAAGATAAATAAAGTATTTACAATATAATATAATCTTAATAATAATTTTTGAATTTGAATTAATAATAATTTAAAATTGATAAATAAAATAAATTTAAAAACTTTGCTCCTTGTGGCAGTGTACCTTTAAAGCTGGCAGCATTTCCTTACTTATTATGTCATAATTTTAAAGTAACACTAAATACGTATACACATAATCCCTATCTATTTATCACAAAACCGAAAAAAAATAACTTTTTCTGGTTCGTTGCGTGCGCGAGTGAAAAAAAAATTATTTACTTATGAGAAAACATGTATAAGAATAGAATTAATAACGCATGCTCTCTTACAACATTGCTGTGCCTAACCAATGTTTGTAACAATTGTTATAGTGACAAAATATGAACATAAGGAATGCAATAATGATTTGACTTTGAGTGCGTTGCTACGCTTATATAAATTGGTACGCTCTTTTCTTAAAGTATTATAAGTCGTAGTGGTACCTCGGCAGGCAGCTAGTGGTGGTGGTGCGCTAAGCCATCAAAAGAAGTGTCTTACTGGTATTTAAAAGTAACGGTTGACTATACAAACATACAAAAGTCAAACCCATTTCATCATTCCCATTCAGTCAAAGTTTCATCATCGGACGTCGAGGCAGAATACGAAATTCCACCCGTATCACCTCGACGTCCATCATTCCACAACTGAGCGTTTTTTAAGGCAGTATCACCACTATGTGGAACCAGGTGCCCACTGAAGTATTTCCGAACCAATTCGACTTAGGGTCCTTCAAGAAAAGAGCGTACCAATTCTTAAATAGCCGCCAACGCACTCGCGCTCTGGCATTGAGAGTCCATGGGCGGCGGTATCACTTAACATCAGATGCGCCCGTTTCTTCTTATAAAAACAAGAATTTTAAAGGTATAGTTCTCATCTCTCATCGTATAAAAATTACGCTAGAGTATACAGCTAGTTACATCGACTTATGTTAATGGCAGTAAAAGGCTGCCTCGCAATAATCCCTACAACTAATATTAGCAATAAACAGCCCCTTTCAACTAATTATCTTAAGATCCTACGGCTGAACTTAGTCTGAGACGCTCGCGAAACTTGCCAACGATTGCAAGGATGTTTTTATTGAGCGAAAGCTGTGTAAGGGGAGTTGCTGATATTTAAACTTATTCATAAATAGTTAATGTTAAACGAACTTAATCTACTTGAGTACGTACACTCTTAACTATAATTATTAAGAGGAATGATTTGATGTATTCGAAAATTTACTGGATCTCCAAAATTCTTACACTGTTAAAATGCTGAATTTTGCCTGAGTAGTATTTTTTTATTTTTAAAATATTTAGTGCAAATCTAGTATAGGCTGCAAGTATTCTATAAAATATAAATTTGTGGTTGATTTTTGGAAATATATGCAACGCAACATGAACTGTTAATAACTTTTGGTTACCGCCTTTCATTCATTCATACAAAAAGTTAAATATTTTTGCAATTATTTTTTTTATATTTAAGAGTTGACAGGAATAATAACTCCTTTCGCCACCCCCTCCCCAGCAATATGTATACATACACATACGTATATATATCTAATATATAAAATTCTCGTGTCGCGGTGTTTGTAGTTAAACTTCTCCGAAACGGCTTGACCGAATCTTAAGAAATTTTGTGTGCATATTGGGTATGTCTGAGAATCGGACAACATCTATTTTTCATCCCCCTAAATGTTGAGGGTAGTCCACCCCTAAATTCTATTTTTTATAATTTTTAGATATTTTTTTATGATATAGCATTAAAAAATACATACAACCCCTAATTTTCACCCCTCTACGATCAACCCCCATTTTTTATTATAAATGATATTCATGGCAAAACGACGTTTGCCAGGTCAGCTAGTATATATATATATATTTGAATGAATGTCTAAACAGAATATTCTTAGTGTTCAATGTAAAGGTAATTATTGTCGCAGACGGACCTCAAACATCATCCTTTGCAAATAGAAGGCTCGCTTTACAATTTGTTACTTGTTTCACTGTTTACATTCGATTGTGAGACGAGATAAATTGTTAAGCAACAAACATTTTTAATTGTATCTTGTTTATTTATTTAACAAACACTTAAACGTTGGCAACACTCGCGAGTCCTCTGGTACTAAGAGTATCCATGGACGGTACTTAACATCAGATGAGCCTCCTGTCCGTGTGCTTCGTTTTATAATAAAACCTAATCATAAAAACTCAAAGTGGCATTTGTTTATGTAAAATATTTGTCTCTCTCCGCCTAATGTTATTTTCACAGTGATGAAACAAGTTTGTAAATACACAAGTGTAATTACAATGTATTACAGTTTAATTATAATGTTTTTTTTTTCTAAGGCAGATGGTATCTGGTCATAATATCATGTTAACGGATAATATCTTAATATACGAGTACATTATAAATTACGCGTCACGTTGTTTGTCCGCTATGGACTCCTAAACTACTTAACCGATTTCAATCAAATTTGCACACCGTGTGCAGTTTGATCTAACTTAAAAGATAGGATAGCTTACATAATTCTACTGTACGTGTGTATGTCCTCTTCAACCGCTGGACCGATTTGAATGTATTTTTTTAATGCGTTTGGGTGGAGCCCTGGATG